AGAACTAAATTGAAATAAGGGAGGCCTATTCAGAGTAAAGATGTAATATGGTGATTTTTTATTTTAGGTAAACTAAATTAGATCTAAAGCTGGGTTATGGATCTGGAAACACCTTTAATAAGAATGTAATTAGAAGACTGTTAATAGAAGAATTATTAGAAGAATTTTATATAATATGAGAGTAATATTATGATAGTGGTCATATTGTGTACTAAAATCTGTTTATGAATGGTTCAAATGCTTGAAAGATGTTTGGAATTGGGGGGGATAACCAGGAAGAGAATCTTTTTTTAAAGTGCATACAGAGAGGGGTACTGGTTGGATAGGTCAGCAGTTTAGGTTTCTGGCTGCAGAGCCAGAGGTTGGGAGTTTGATTCCTCACTGTACCTCCAGGGAGAAGAGCCAGCCTGTGTAGCCTTAGGCAAGCTGCACAGTCCCAGGAAGCCCCCAGAAAAAGGGAATGGGAAACCACTTCTGAATACTCTCTACCTAGGAAACCCTGAAAAGGGTTACCATAAGTCAGAATTGACTTGATGGCAAATTGTTGTATTGGTGCTAGTGGTGGTTGTTATAGAGGGGGCTCAGAGAGAGAGAGAGAGACAGACAGACAGACAGACAGACAGAGAGCAGATGCCCTCACTGCAACATTTTTCTAGTACAGCGGGGGGGGGGTTTACTTCTAAAACTTGAATAGCATCCAGTCACTTGAGCGTAAGAAAAGGTTGCATTCGGAGACATCTCCCTGTTTTAAAGCAGAATAATCCATTTTAAAAAGAAATTGTCTCCCCCTAGTGGCTGAACTCTTCAGATATTCCAATTTTCATTTAAACCTAAGGTATTTTCTTTTAGTCCAGGTGATGGGAGATCTGTGTGCTTTTTCAAGAACAGATTGATGTGGCGCTCTCACAGTCCATTCTGTGATGTCACCACATTGTAAGTGTCCTCACTCCTGCATTGCTGGCAGCTCTTAGGAAAGGTGGGGAAACATTATGATGGCATGGTGTGCAATAAGACTTAGCACCTGATTCTTTTTTTTTTCCTTTTTGGTAGAATTTAAATTCAGACAATTCCATGTCTTCCTTGCACTCTGATGCACATCCAAAATTTTCTGTTTTAGGGGGCTTTCCCTCCTTCATGACTTCACACAAGCCTTTCATTTAATATGCCTCATTTTGTGGTCTAAATTAGGAGCTTATGCCTGCTCTAAATTAAAAGGGAAAATCTTTTTAGAAGCAGGAATTCCATATACATTCCAGAGTTCATAGAAGGAACAAAAAGCTAGTACCACATAGTGGCTAAAACCTTGTTGCGCAGCTCCATGTATGCAACGGCATTCACAGTAGAAGCAGGAGCAAACTGTGCCGATTAAAAGGCAATTTTGGGGAGCACACAACTGGTAAACAATGCAACGAAGTCGGATGCACCCAACCAAGCTCAGAGAAGCAAAGAATAGATGCTGCTGTGATAGCCTCCTTCCAATGTCTGAAGGGTTGCCATGCAAAAGATGGAATAAACTTGGTTACTGCAGCTCCAGAGGGAAGGGGGCAAACTAATGGTTTCCAATGATGAGAAAGGAGATTTTGATTAAATAAGAGAGAGAACTTCCTGACAGTAATAGCTGTTAAACAGTGGAACAGCCTGCCTCAGGACATGCAGAATTCTCCTTCATTTAAGGTTTCAAAACAAGGATTGGATGGCTTTCTGTGGACTTCCTGCTTTAGACTTGATCATCCTTCCAGCTCTAGAATTCTATGAAACTATACAATACATTAAGTGTAGGTATGTGTTAATGTGTCTGATTTTGTGATTTAAATAGCAACTACAAACTGGTGACCAGGACCACACTATCTAGAAAAGGTGGTCAACCTTCACACTATCTCCTAATGACCTTCCTCACACATATACAGTTAATAACTTACCTGGAGCAATGCTTATATTGATATCAGATATCCTAGGACATGTAGCAGTGGCGTGGAGCAATGGTGCAATTTTCATCAAAACAAGTTACCCACCCTCCGTATAATCCCCTGGGTTACTTTTCAAACAACTACAAAAAAAAATAACTAGACCTGTTAAAATATCAATCTGTTCCATGTATCATCTCATTTGTCCATAAATTTATAACCTGGCATTCTGCAAGCCAAACAAAGCAGCTGACAGTAAGGCAGAGTGAGGAATATACAGTGGTGCCTCGCTTAACGGGTGCCCCGTTTAATGATGAATCTGCATAGCGATGAAGATTTTGCGATCGCAAAAGCGATTGCATTGCGATGTTTTAAATGGGAAAAATCGCTTTGCGATGATTGGTAACCTGCTTCGCTTACCGATTATCACATAGCAATGATTATCCAACAGCTGATCGGCAGTTCCAAAATAGCCGGCGGGTAAAAAAATGGCCGGCCGCTGTGTTTTCGTGCTGATTGCTCACTTACCGGGCAGCGAAAATGGCGACTGGATGGAGGATCTTCGCTTAAAGGTGAGTTTTAAGCCCATAGGAATGCATTAAACGAGTTTTAATGCATTCCTATGGGCTTTTTATTTTCGCATAGCGACAAAATCGCTTTGCAGCGATTTTTGCTGCACGTCGCTATGCGGGGCACCACTGTATCTGAAAAAATATATCAAAGCTGAATTTAAAAAATTAATATCATCATCTTAGAACTGCAGACCTGGAAGGGACCCTAGGGATCATCAAGTCCAGCCCCTTCAACGAGGCAAAGTGGAGATTCGAACTCCCATTGCCTAAATGCTATGCAATATCCTTTCTCTGAAGAGGAGACATGAACATGCTTACCTTTGGACACATACCTGGGAATAGATCCCAACCAACTTAAGGAGGCACACTTCTGAACAAACATACCTACAATTCCACTGTGGGACTTCAATTTTAAGCACACTCACCTGGGGTGGAAGGGAAATTACTGGAGACATAGCTGGCTCAAGTGAGTTACTCATCCTGGCAGAAATGGGGCAGCTATTGGCAGCATAGTAATTCCGGAGCTTCTTACTGTGGTTTTTACCCTACAAAGAGAACTTTTATTAAAAACAGTCACAGGCAGCCACATCTGTATATGAAGAACTGCTGGGGAGGTTTACTCTGAAGGCTGATGCAATACTTTGCCATTGATGTTAAGGTTATATGATGCATTTAGTGCTGAGGTAGGCAAAGTGTAGCCCATGGCAGTACCTCAATACCCTCCCCATTTTTCCCTTTTAAAAAAACTGTAGTTACAGTTTGCCACTTAAACTCAGCAGCAAACCAGTAAACGGGATACTTACTTCAATAAGCCAGTGGTGACCGAAATGGTCCTCATTATTTACTGGAAGAGGAAACCTTTAGTTACCCTTAATTACAACCCTTTTCCCCCAGGTTGTTCTCAGCTTTTGTCTTTCTTCTTCAAATAGCTTTTGTTATTTAAGCCACTGGTTCTTAACCTTGGGTTATTCAGGAGTTTTGGACTGCAACTCTCAGAAGCCTTCACCACCAACTGTGCTGGCTGGGGTTTCTGGGAGTTGCAGTTCAAAAACATCCGAGTAACAAAGGTTAAGAACCACTGATTTAAGCCTTTGCAAGCATCTGTTATGTCAGAAGCTCCTGCAGTTTCTTCTTGAGCAGTAGCCTTACTTTATGTGAATGGTGGTTTTAAAAGTATTTAAATTTACTCTATGAAGAATTAAATGTAACTGGAGATCGGAGTATTCGTATTCATATACAAATGTGCGTACCCCCCCCCTGCACAGGTGGATCTGAGGAGGGTCACATCCACATCCATTCACCCATCCGCCACAGGCTCCATTCTCCTTTCCAGTCGTTCCAGAGCTCACGGTCAGCTATCCGCTCATCAGCCTGACAGGGAGACTCGCCTTCCCTCCTCCTGCCAGGAGTAGATAGTTGATCAGGATCTACGGATTGATTGGAAGGGAGAGAGGAGCCAGAGGCAGACAGGTGAGTGGATGGTTGCGTTTACCTGTGCCGTTACATCCACCTCTGCGATGGTATTCGTATTTGTAGATGAATATGAATATCCCCATCTCTAAATGTAACCTTAAATTAATACTAAATTATCTTAAATATCAATGGGTTCAAGAAAGAACTAAAGAACTAATCTGTAATGAATTCAAACCAATTTTAAAAAATTATATAAATTTCCTGAATATTAAGAACTCCCCCAAACCTACTGAAATTTAAATTATCAGTGTGTTTCTTAATACAAGGAAAGTTCAAATTCAAAATGTACACATATATGAATGTATACATATCCATGTCTGTCTGTGTGTTTCTGTCTATCTAAACATCTGCACATATAGATTTCAAAGCATGAAACAACATAGTTCTGGATTCCAGACGAATGCAGTTAATAACTTTGAAATACACCTTTTTTAGAATGTCTAACAAATCATGTTAGAATGACTAAGAAATCAGCCCCTTTATGGATTGCTGCCTTGTCGTGCCGAAGAGGCTTGAGTAACTCAGAGAAGTTCTGGGCTATGCTGTGCAGGGACACCCAAGATGGGCAGGACATAGTGGACATTTCTGACTAAACGTGATCCACCTGGAGGAGGAATTGGCAATGCCACTCCAGTATCTTTGCCAAGAATGCCCCATGATCAGAAACAAAAGGCTAAAAGATATGACGCTGGAAGATGTACCCCTCAGGTCGGAAGGCATCCAACATGCGACTGAGAAAGAGTGGAAGGCAAGTACAAGTAGTTCCAGAGCTAATGAAGTGGTTGGGCCAAAGCCGAAAGGACACTCAGCTGCGGACATGCCTGGAAGTGAAAGGGAAGTCCAATGCTGCAAAGAAAAATACTGCATAGGAACCTGGAATGTAAGATCTATGAACCTTGGTAAGCTGGATGTGGTCAAAGAGGAGATGGCAAGAATAAACATTGACATCCTGGGCATCATTGAACTAAAATGGATAGGAATTGGCAAATTCAATTCAGATTATTATCATATCCATTATTGTGAGCAAGAAGCCCGTAGAAGGAATGGAGTAGCCCTCATAGTCAACAAAAGAGTGGGAAAAGCTGTACTGAGATATAATCTCAGAAATGACAGAATTATTTCAATACAAATCCAAGGCAGACCTTTCAACATCACAGTAATCCAAGTTTATGCACCAACCACCAATGCTGAAGAGGCTTCAGCAGTATGTGGACTGAGAACTTTTGGTCTAGATGGGCGGGATAGAAATCCAATAAATAAATAAATAAACTCCCAGAACAACAAGATGAATTTTGAAGGGCAGAGGAACTAGAGACCAAATTGCTAACATGAGCTGGATTATGGAGAAAGCTAGAGAGTTCCAGAAAAACATCTACAGTACTTCTGCTTCATTGACTATGCAAAAGCCTTTGACTGTGTGGACCACAGCAAACTATAGCATATCCTTAAAGAAATGGGAGTGCCTGATCACCTTATCTATCTCCTGAGAAATCTATACGTGGGACAGGAAGCAACAGTTAGAACTGGATATGGAACAACCGACTGGTTCAAAACTGGAAAAGGAGTACGACAAGGCTGTATATTGTCTCCCTGTGTATTTAAATTATATGCAGAATACATCATGCGAAAGGCTGGACTGGAGGAATCCCAAATTGGAATTAAGACTGCCAGAAGAAATATTGACAGCCTCAGATATGCAGATGACCCCACTCTGATGGCAGAAAGGAGGAGGAATTAAAGAACCTTGTAATGTGGGTGAAAGAGGAGAGCGCAAAAATGCTCTGAAGTTCAACATCAAAAAAACTAAGATCATGGCCACTGGTCCCATCATCTCCTGGCAAATAGAAGGGGAAGATATGGAGGCAGTGACAGATTTTACTTTTTTGGGCTCCATGATCACTGCAGAGGGAGACAGCAGCCATGAAATTAAAAGATGGCTGCTTCTTCGGAGGAAAGTGATGACAAACCTAGACAGCATCTTAAAAAGCAGATACATCACCTTGCCGACAAAAGTCTGCATAGTCAAAGCTATGGTTTTCCAGTAGCAATGTACGGAACTGAGAGCTGGACCATAATGAAGGCTGACCACCAAAGAACTGATGCTTTTGAATTGTGGTGCTGGAGGAGACTCTTGAGAGTCCCCTGGAATGCAAGGAGAACAAAGCTATCAATTCTAAAGGAAATCAACCCTGAGTGCTCACTGGAAGGACAGATTCTAAAGCTAAGGCTCCAATACTTTGGCCATCTCTTGAGAAGACTCCCTGGAAAAGCCCCTGATATTAGGAAAGTGTGAAGGCAAGAGGGGAAGGGGATGACAGAGGATAAGATAGTTGGACAGTGTAATCGAAGCTACCAGCATGAATTTGACCCAATTCCGGGAGGCAGTGGAAGACAGGAGGACCTGGCGTGCTCTGGTCCATGGGGTCATGAAGAGTCGTACATGACTTAACGACAAAACAACAACAAAACAAATCATAGCAAGATATTTCAGGTTCCACCTTCATCAGGTGCTCTGAATAAGTGTGCTGTATCCAATAAAATACACAATCGTAATACTGTAAAATAATATAATAATATAATAAAAACCGTGTAACTATCTATTGGCATGAAAACAGAGAGTGCCAGAGCAATGCTGACACTAAGAGAAAGATAAAACATGAAAATACAAGTAAATGGAACAGTTAGTGGATGGAGCTCAACTGGGGTTGAGATGGAAAGCATCCATAGAAAGCCATGTCTTCAATTGCCTCTTAAATGTCAGCAGAGAGGAAGAGGTAAATAGGGAGGGAGACGAGGCAAAGCTCCTCCAGGAGCTGATTCCTCAAAGATGGAGCCACCACAAAGAAGGCCATACCTCTCGTAGAATAGGACTCCTTCGGGGTGCTACTTGGAGGAGCCCATATCACTTATGCTCACAGGAGAGAAGGGGAGGGGGAGAAGAAAGGCATTCATCCCTCAGCTAAGGGCAGCTTTGAAGTTCCAACTGTCATGGCCGCCTTTTCCTCCTGCGCCAGCAACAATGGGCTGTGGTTGTGAGGAGACACCATGGAGACACCACATTGAGGTGGATGGAGATGCTGGAGGTAGTGGCCTGGCATTCTGCAGCAGGCAGTGGGGTGGGCTGCTTCTGTTGTGTGTTTTTTATGACAAATGTTTGAACATCTTTGGAGAACTTCCTCTACTTGGGATGTTGCTATTCCTATTCCACACCAGCCACTCTAATTACATGCCACACACTGGGCTTGCTTTTTCTTGTATTCGATGGAGACAAATGCTTTTCTGAACAGCTGTCAAACCTACAGTTCAATGCATTCCAATTCACCAAAAATTAACGAAGACTCAAAACAAAGCCAAATTAAGTTTGCAAAGGTTTTACAGGGTGCACTAACGATTCCAAGCATTTTAAACTGTTTTTGAACATTTTAAGACACTTTAAAAATAGCGAAAAATGGACCTGTCAAAACCACTGAAATGCATTGAAACCTATTCAATGCATGCATTCCAACGGGGGAACCGCGTTTTGCTTAGCAATGTTTCCTATGGCGATTTTCGCTTAAGGATGGTAATCCATTCCCATTGGAACGCATTATCCGGTTTTCAATGCATTCCTATGGGAAATGGTGTTTCGCTTAGCGATGTATTCCCATAGCGATGTTTTTTTTGGAACCAATTAACATCGTTAAGCGAGGCACCACTGTACACAGGCTATTCATGACCATTGATAAGCACCGAGAAGACTATTTTCTAGTTGAACCCATCCATGTGTTTCCCCCATGCTTTACTCCCCATGCTTTCATGTGTCCGTTTGCTGCACTCACACTTCAGGCATCTGAAGTGGTCTTCCAGATGGCATAAAACTCTTTGCTGTCTCAGGGAAATTCACACCTCCATGCATGCCCTTTTAGGAACAACCAGCAGCCCTCAGACCCTGGAATTCTATGCTTCATATTTTTCACACCTTTTTCATACCTGGTAATGGGCCTGGGCTTGCTGAGCAGAATTCAAGGTGACGTTACAAAGCTTGCAGCACAAAGGCTTACACAGTTCCTCCAGGACCGGATCCTGCTCCACCCCTGCCCCGAGTTCCTCATCTTGTGCAAGTGGCAGGGATGGCCCCAGTCCAAGTGGCTTCTGTGGAGAGAGTAGCAAATTGGCTGTGGGCCTGGTGGCCACTGACATAGGAAGAGATGGAAGCTTCTCAGGAGGAGGAGGAGGAGGAAGGCCACCTTGTTGCAAGATGATCATTGGCTGAGAGGCCTTCTGGCATGCTTCCTCTGAAGACACAAGACCAACTTGGGATCTGGATCAGGAAAAAAAAACAGAAATTCAGCTGAACAGGGTTTTTAAAGAGCAAATTTCAGAAGTACAAGGATGTTGGGAATCCTGCAGGCCAAGTTCTGGTTTATTAGTCCTAAGGACCCCATTGTGATGGACAGCACTGGAACCTATTCTCCTTTGGATGCACCTATCATAGTTTTCAGAAGGAGGTAAAAGCTGGATTAGCTACTAGAGAAAGCTCAATGCTAGCAAAGAATTGGAAAAGTGAAGCATGATTTTCAGTTAAGCGATTGGTATAAAGAAGTTTGGAATAGCATAGCTATTAATGATAAGTTATCTTGTGGTATTAAGGTTCAAAAGGGATTAATTAATAAGAATAACTGCAGTAATATTTGGGAAGTTTTTGTTATATACAGTATTAATAAAAGGAAAGGTTTGTGCACTATCACAAGACTCAGTGCAGTTTTGGAAGGGTAATGGAGGTTCCTAAATGAAAAAAAATATTAATTTGTCTCCAGTGGTCTGAGTGGAGAAGTGCACTGTATATGTATATGTATAGTTTAAGTGGTTTTTGCTTTGTATTTATTAACTTTTCTTATTACTTTAGTTAGAATTTTTTTGTATTGTGGTTTAATGTTCTGTGTTTAGTATCTTTTTTTCTTTATTTTATATATTAAAAAGAGAGAGATTGTGGTGGGTTGGAGGAAAGAAAGAAAAATAAATAGTTGAGTAGTATGGTGTAAATGGAGCAGTTAAAATCCAGGGAAAGGATAGAAAAAGATAATTATATTTTTAAAAAAGCAAATGTTTGAGACTTAGCCCCCCCTAAGCACTGTTAATGTTGAGTCTTGAAAAAGAACTTTGACTGTTTCATGGTTTAATCACTACTGCCTCAGTCTCTTTGGTTAGTGCAGCTACTGGACTCCAGTCACATACTAATAGAAAATGCACAACCCTACTTTTTGATAGAATTCTCTAATTCCTTATAGATTCCTAGGGTGGGTTCTGAAAAACAGAAATTGAGATCACCTATACCAGTGGTCCCCAATCTTGGGCCTCCAGATGTTCTTGAACTACAACTCCCTGAAATCCTGGCCAGCAGAGGTAGTGGTGAAGGCTTCTGGGAGTTGTAGTCCAAGAACATCTGGTGGCCCAAGGTTGGGGACCACTGACCTATACTATGGTATTCCCAGTTAACTACATACAAATGGAAAAACTGGATAATGAAGAAAGCTGACATGAAAAAAAATACATCCATTCAAAGTGCGATGTTGGATGAAAGCTTTACAGACAGTGTGAACCACCAGAAAGACAAATAAGTGAGTTTTAGGTTAAATCCAGCTGGATAGCTCGATGGTTTAGGTATCTGGCTGTGGAGCCGAAGGTTAGGATTTCAACTCCTCACTGTGCCTCCTGAGATTAGGGTCAGTCTGGGTGGCCTTGGGTAAGCTGCACAGTCCCAGCGCCCCCCCCCCCAGACTCTGTCTAGAAAACTCTGAAAAAGGTCACCATAAATCAGAATTGACTTGGAGGCACATAATTATTGACTAGCTTGAATTCTCACTAGAAGCTAAAATAACTAAATTGAGGCAATTGTACTTTTGACATAGCATGAAAAGGGAAGCCTCACTGGAAAAGACCACAATGCGGGGGGGGGGGGGACCAAAGGCAATAGGAGTAGAAGACTTTATTTAAATGAGATGGACTGACTCAAGAAAAGTTGCCTTTTGATCTGGGTTGCCAGTTCGGAAGTGCTGCTCTCTTACCCTTGATTCTCCCTCGGCAAAATGCAAGGAGTACAATCATGGGGGGTGAAAACACTGTAAATTGCCCAGCTTAGGAAAATGCTATGTGCACCTTTTTTCAGTGGCACTTTCCCACGTTCTTAATGGCAGCTCAAAGGGGAACCTCCCTCTTCAGAGGTGGCTCCTGCTCCGGACGACCATGTCCCACTTAAGGGCTTCTCTGCCCAGTCTCACACTGTGGCAAACACAGACTAGTGGGCGATGATGTGCCCATCCATGCACACCATACCGCACAGCATCCAGGCAACAGCATCCAGCGCATTGCACTGCAAGGAAAACAAGGACCCTTTGAAAAAACAAATCTACAAAATAATCTCAACGTGAGTCCACGGAACCCCTGAAGGAGAAACAACAGCTCGCCTGCAAAGAAATCCCTTTAACGGGCTTGACACTCATCTACCACCACCCCCTACAGAAGAGCACAACATCGCTTGATGCCGGCTGTCAGACGAGCACATTGCAAGCAACATCATGGACTTACCGGCTTCCCAAACACAGGAGAGAAGCGGGGAGGGGAGGGAGAAAGAGCGAGCGAGCTCACGGAATGATTTCTGCAAGGATCCCCTTGGAATCCGAAAATCTTCACTCCTTCCTCCCCTACTCTCCTTAGCTGACCCTTAAAAAAAAAACACTGATGGCTTTCAGCCGGCTTCTGTCTAGAAGGGGTATAGAGGAGATGGACGGGGGAGGCGATCAGCATCACCGGACGCTGCTAGAAACAGCTGCAGGAAGTGACTGCGGAGCAGGGAGGAGACTGGGGGGGAAACTGCCCTGTCACGGCGCGCCCAGGGCGCATGAGTCTTCGGTGCGCAGCGTCCTGATCCTCGAGGATGCTGTCTTCCCTCGGACGGAGGATGCTGTTGGGAAGAGCAGACTCGTGGTCAGAAAGGGAGCGATCGCTGGTCCTCGGACCTTGATCCTGGCTCTGAGCGCTCCCTCTCCTTAAGCGCCGTGGTGCGGTAGGCAGTTAGGACGGCGCAGGTGACCATCCTGGCAATGGCCATTAAGGAAGCGCAGCCTGCTGAACTGGTGTGTCAACCATTGAGCAGCAGGGCTTTTGCAAAATAAATGGCTTTTAATTGCCTGTTCACCAGATGCATCTGTGAGGATGCTCCTTCTGTAGTTGGGACTATGGTATCACCTGTCATCACCATGAGCTGGTGATGACAGGGGATGCCATAGTGCCAACTATAGAAGGAGCATCCTCACAGATGCATCTGGTGGGGACACAGGAGAGGGGCTTCTCTGTGGCTGCTCCCAGACTCTGGAACTCCCTCCCACTGGAGGCTGGGCTGGCCCCATCTTCGCTGTCCTTCTGCAAGCAGGCAAAGATCTTTTCAGGCAGGCCTTTCCTTAGTGACGGATTGTTTCGGAGAGGTTTTTTTAAATGGATTGTTGAGTCTTGTTGTATTAAAATGTTTTTCTAGTATTGATTTTATTTGCCATTAAAAATGCAAAATTTGTTTAGTTGTTTAAAAATATTTGTGTACTTACTGTTCTTGCTTTTAAATGTTGTCTTTTTAATGGTGTAAGCTGCCTTGGGTCCTTTTTAAGGAGAAAGGCAGAGTAAAAATAGTTTAAATAAATAAATGTCATTTATGGTTGTTGTAGGTTTTTCAGGCTGTTTGGCCGTGTTCCGGAGGTTTTTCGTCCTAATGTTTTGCCAGTCTCCATGGCTGGCACCTTCAGACAGGAGTTAGAACTTTGTCTGTGTTCTGGTATAGTGTGTGGGATAATTGAGTCATGCCATGGACATAGTCCCTCAGAGCACTGGATCTGCTATTTCACTGATCCCCATAATCACCTCCCCTTCTGTAAGGATAGTGTAAAAAAGGCAAGTGGCAGGGGAGGTTCATATAAACAAAATGAGGAGATTGTATTTGTAATGTTGATGTCTTTTGCTTGCCAAATCAAGAACAAACCATCTTAAAACACTTTGTGTTGCAATAGGGATAGCTTGCAACTGTTTTGAAGGAGAAAAGCCTCAAATGGCACAACATCCATACCTTTATTAGGTGGAATTGCAATCCCTGTTTTTTGTGTTTCATAGAAAACTTCTTTAGGGAAAAAAGCCATGCCCTATGCTTTCTTCTCAAGAAAGTTTTCCCTCCCAAGCATTAATCCTGAACAAGACTACTTTGCTTCTTTATATTTTGTTTTAATAAATGGATTATTCTATTTGCATCTAATTCAGTTGTTCTGCTTTACCACCGCATTCTTGTTCCTCTCCTATCAAAGGCTGGATCCATCATGGTTCCTTGAACTTTGGATGAAATAGGGCAACACAATGATGCTATGCTGCAGCCAAACCAGTTTCCTAAGTTCTTTAGCCAATATTTTTCTTCCTGCACTTTTTCCAATGAATGAATAGTTGTAACAACCTCTCCTTCCTGTTTCTAGTATGTGATCCAAGTATTATAGTGTTCTGCATTTTATGTGTTTATTATATATTCTTGGTCTTGACTCATTCATTTCAGTACTTCTTTGTTGGCCAGCCAATTGATTGAAGAAATTCCTATCACCCTATTATGAATCCACATTTCAAATGCTTCTCTCTTTTTAATATAGCTACCTGTATTAAAATCCGTACTTCTGTGTCATGAAGTAAAACTGAGAATATTATCATAGTTCTATTTAATCCCAGAAAAAAAGCTGAATTGCAGCAGCCCATTTCCATCCATAACAGGCTGGAAGAAATTTGACATAGTCAAAGATGTGCATTTTTAAAAAGCCGAAAGAAGAAACCTGTTTCCTTCTTTTTATCATTATGGCTATAGTAAAGCCCTCTAACTTTTAAAGGTGAGCCCACTGAATAGGGGAGAGTAAAGATGGTAAATTGTTCCAGTAGTCCTCTTAGGATCTGAACAAATGTTCATGAACAAGATTTCCTTGGGGGGGGGGGTCTACAAGAGAAGCCACAACTTTCTTGCTTTAAAAGACTTTGTGAGGCCACTGTACATTGACAGAACTGAAGCAGCAGCATCTTTTGCTCAATGTAACCGTTCATTTAACATGTGGAGTTCATTGCAATGTTTGGTCTTGAAAGATATTTACTGTAACAATAGTGGACGTAGAATAGAGGTGGTTAAATGGGTGTGAGCACACATAACTGAGAGTGAAGAATGAACCAAGATAGCTGCACATCAATGTCAATACCCCTACAAGATTAAACGTCTTTAAATAATCTGTCATGCTTTGAACCTTTCTGTTTCACATCATTGGCCATTTAACAATTATGCTGGCCTCCTTAATAACAGAGTTCTAACAGTTATTGAGGAAACACAGAGTACTCAAGATAGTTAAAACACTTTTTTATTCTCTACACTAGCACTACACTACACTTTCTGCTGTTGTTTCCTTTAATAAATAAATTGATCAGTTTTTCTTTTCAGAATCAATCTTCAAAAGAACCGAGTACAAAACAGGTATCATAAATCGTTACTAGATGTGAAAAACACCTCATCATCACTGTCCCTATAGAGTCTTGCCTAAATATTTTACCATGCTATCTCAGACTGATATTTAACAAAGTGGGCATGTTTCATGAAAGCTTACAGTAAAATACTGTATAGCAGTTTTTCTTTCAGGTGCCATAACGTCTTTATTTGTGTTTGTTTTGTTTTGTGTTTCTTGTTTAAATGCTTGGTATTTACATAGCCATTCTCACTATTTCCAGTGTCCTTGCTCTGCAATTCAACAATTTCACACTACTCTGAAAGCACAACCCTAGGGACTATAGAAAGAATCCTGAAGTGCATCACTAGATGGCAGCAATCAATTAGAAATGGAAAGGCAAAGAACCTCCCACTGTAGCAAAGACATCTTGCAAGATTTATTTCCAGAGAAAGATCCATGTGGTGATGATAATGGATTCTTGAGGAGTTACAAAGGGACTTAGATTTTATTTACATTTTCTTTTAAGCAGACACAGAGGAAATGATTAACCTCTAATTTCACGCTAGGCTGCTGCTGAATGTAACAGGGAGGCATACAAATTAAATTTTGTCATATGCCAGGTGACACTTAAGTGTCACAAAGATGACCCCCAATTGGAATCATCCAGAGATTATCTCTACTGAAATGTCATCATCCTCAGTATCAAAAATCACAATGGGTACAGTATTTTCAATTGGCAATATTATTCAGTGAGATATTAAAGCATATTTAATGCAATACAACACAATGAATGCTAGCCACAGACTTAAATATCTGCCTACAGATAATATGCTTCATTAATCAAACAGAATTTTGGACATTAGTCAAACACTCCATCACCAAATAGCTAATTTTCTCTGTGTGTGTGCGTGCGTGCGTATGTATGTACATATTTATTTATTTGATTTACTGCCCTTTAGTGGAAACACTACTCTGAGCAGTTTAAAATTAAAACTTAGAACTCCACATGACCCCCACATGCCAACACAATAATATGGTGGCTCACCAATGTAAATCTAAAACTAATACAAAAAGAACAAAATAAAAAATAATATCATCCAGGAGATAGGTTACTGGAGGCAGCTTTGTATAATTCTGTTTTCGCTAATTTCCTGACTATCAGGAGGGTAGTGTTTATTTGCACTTCACTATTTTAGCTTTCAATACCTCTATCGTCATGGGTCCATCTTGCGGAATCCTAAAATTTGTGCTTCAATGAGCTATTTAGGGTTCTGTGCTAAAGAACTTGAATATTGTCGTTGGGGGAAGGTCAGTGGAGCCCTCTAGTTGAGAATGCTGAGTACTTCCCCAAACTACAAATCCCAGAATTCCATATACTGTAACAGAGACATGGCAGTTGCTCTTATATGCTGTCAAGTCACTTTCATTTTATGGTGACCCTATGAATTAGTGACTTTCTAAAAGTGATGTTGTCAACTGCCCTGCTCAGCTTTGTAAACTCAGGGCCATGGCTTCCTTTATTGAGGCAACTGATTTCTTGATCTTCCTCTTTTTCAGTTGCCTTCAGCTTTTTTCAGCATTATTGCCTTTTCCAATGACTCATGTCTTCTCTTAATGTGCCCGAAGTACGATAGTACTGCAATTAAAAAGCATCAAACAGCTGCAACACTGGAGTATTATATTCACAACTTCCTCATAACTCATTTTACTACATGGCCATTGGTCTTTAGGAAACAACTTCCCAGAATTAGCTCTTCCATTATTCAAATATCATTACCACTTGCTTAGATAAGTTTTAAGAATATTGAATAAACACATGTACAATGGTTATATCAACAGTGATTTTCTACAACCTGAACTAGGAAGTTATTTTCTGGTTGGAAGAGCTGGGAATTATAGTGCAAAACAGTAACTTATTACTGGTAGGGTCTCAGACAGTTTAAGTGGAAAATCAATTATTTGAGGCAATATACCTGAACATTACATGGTGAGGACAAATAACAGGCTGCAACTTTCATGTGTGTTTTCAAAGTCATTTGTTATGTTCTTCAACTAATAATCCTTAAGGAGCAGAAATAATCCTGCCCGGATCAAGGACTGATCTAGTCCAAAATCTTATTTTCAACAGATGCTAGATACACAGATCTTTGCTGTTGGGCCCCCAGCATCTGGTATTTCAAGGGATGTTGTACCTGAACAAAAGAGAATCAGAAGCTTAGATAAACGTCATTCATTCTTTGACTCAATATGTCTACCCTCTCTGTTACACATCCGAATCATGCTCAAACAACTGACAAATTGCATCCTTCAGACCTGTCTTTTAAGGAACTGTCCCTAAACTAACCTCCAGATCTTAAACTTCTAGAAGATGAACAGCCCCAATATTTTCAGGCTGTGTAGTAACTGAGTTTTTGTTTGTTTGTTTGTTTTGTAAGCCTTGTCAATTTCTATAAAAGTATTTTCAGGCTGTGCTGTAAGTCTTTTGTAATTTTTGTACAGTAATTACAAAAGCCTGGTCTTTTGTAATTTTCCAGGATTAGATGCCCACTCGATACACATGACTAACAGTCATATATTTTACTACCTGATGGCATCTGTCATGAGATGGTATAATTATTCTCCTAAACTTGGCCTTGCCGGACACACACACAGATATATAAAAATGTTGTGAAATAATGGGCAATGACTCTTGGTGACTCAGCACAAGATGACTAGTACTATTTTCATGATATCAAAACTTGTCTGGCATTAAGCATAGCCATACGTGGAGAGAAGCAGCACATTAAAAGAAACTGTCTCTGGAAATTTATTAAATGCATAAGTATTCTTGCTTAGAATATTTTCTGCCTCCCTTTAGCATGTATGTGTGGTAGGCAAAATGTTAACAATGCGCCTTCTCCTAGGATAGCTCCGTGGTCCAGTAGCTCAATTAAAATAAATTAATTAAAAAGCAGTTAAGTGCTGGTGCACCGAACAGTAAGAAAAAAAGATGGGAAAGCAGCCTGTCCCAGCCCTTCCGGATTCTTGCATGGAGAAACAGAGGTGTGGAGCACTCCAGCTGTTGAATTTCTACCTCCCAGTAACCCTGCAAGGCACAAAAAATTGCCAAGATTACTACATTTTACTGAGGGGGGTTTGAGGGGGTTACGACTGTTGTTATCCTGGCAATAACCCAAGAAGACCCTCTCCCAGGGATGTTGACAAGTCTTTCGGCGGCAGTCCCAAGTCTGAATCCGAGTCTTTGGTCCCAAGTCCCAAGTTCGAGTCCCTATGAAAAGCAAGCTTCCCCTCCCCCTCCAGAAAAAAAGGAGGGGTGGGTGGTTTCCGAGTTCATATTATTTAAAAAAAATGGGTCGACTCAAGTCCCTGTTGACCGCTGGTCCCCGCCACTCAAGTCCCCACCCCTGACATATCCTCACGTTCCCCCGGCCTCGCGCCTCCCCCGCTTTCCTCACAACGGCTGGCAGGGGGGTGGGGCACGCGGAGCTCGCGCTCCAAACGGAATCTTTTCCTTCCCTCCCTTCCTCGCCACCGGGGCGTCCCCGGCGCATGCGTAGTTCGGAGCAGGTCCTTGTTTATGTCTGTCTGGGCGCCTGTGTAATTTCCCTGCCTTTTCCCTTCTTCCGTCTCAGGCGGGCCGGTCTACATCCGGGGTTACCGTTGTTTTTTTTTTCTTTTTTTCCTTGCTTCCTGTTCTGGGTGTGTGTGTGTTGTGTGTGTTTGTATATATATATGTGTGTGTGTATCTATATCTCTATATTGTTTGTTTGGGTGCTGTTTGGTGGGTAGGTGGAGGAAGGAGGGAAAGAAAAAGAGGGGGGGAAGGGACGAGCGAGTGAGCGGGTGAAGTTAAGTCCCTGAGGGGGGTTGTTGTGGGGAGA